TGTTCATGAAGAGCGGCTTGTGAGGTCGCTGGTCCTGCAAGAACTCGACGGTAAAGTTACCGCTTCCCCATGGATCGCAGCTCGTCGCGGCTGCAATCTCAAAGACGGAGGTCTTTGCGATGCAATTTGCGTGACTGCATGCTCGTGCTCGACTGCATTGCTTGGAGGATGCCGGCCATCTTGCTGCGCTCTTGTTCGACCATGCTCCCTCGACTGTGAACCTTTTCCGCGGGTCTTCGGGCAGCTGGACATCGGCCGGCGAGGTTCCGTCGACGGTTTCGAACAGTGTTTCGGGGATGCCAGTCACGATTGCAGCCAGGTACACCTGCCTTCTGATGCCGGACATGTTGGCCTCTCTATTTCTGGTCAGGACACGGATGCAGCGAGTGTAACCCACTTGCATCAACAAATCTTCTGCTGTTTTTGAAGCAGCTCAGCTTGGACAAGGACCTTCTCGCCTTGCTGGGCACAAACGGCGCTGTGCTCCGACGTCACATCGTCAAAGGACCAGCAGAAGTTGTAAATCAGAGCTCTTCTTAAAGACCACTCGACGAGAGGGAGGGAGAGAGAAAACAGTGGACCCCACGGTGCTGCAATGTTAACCTGCCTGAAGTCCTACCTTCTGTGACGCACAGGGGCAAGTTAGCAACGATGCCATCATTGTGTCATCGGATATGCTGTTATCTCGGTGAACGGAGTTTATTAAGCCCTTCTGCGTCAACACATCGAATCCGAGAAAACAGAAGCTGATATTGGCTTCAAGCCTGACCTTTTCTCGGGGGATTCGGGGTCTGACAGACCCCATGACACATGGGCGGGCCATTGATTGGCCAGGAAGCTTCGGAGGCTTCCCTTGCCCAGCAGAGAGAGCGAGAGAGAGAGAGAGAGAGAGCCATTTTGGCTCAAGCGCAGCAGCTTTGCTGGGGGGCTTGTTCGGCCTCCTTGCATCGGGGGGGAGGAGGCACGGTGTGGCCCTGAGGCTGTGTCCTCAGGGGAGCTCCTGTTGCCTTCTGCAGCCATGCTTTAGCAACATACCTGCCGCCACTTTGCTTCAGGAATTCACTAGGTGCGGTCGAGCTATAACCGAGGGGGGCGAGTTTGAACCCTTACTTCCTTCTACGCCTACGCGAGTGCAAGAGCTTCTTCCCGGAGGCCGCTCAAAGGGGGGAGACAAAGCTCTTCACCGACTGCTCCCTTAGCCCCTTTGCCACAGCGACCTTAAAGGGCGCCCTGACTGGGTGAGGGACTCCATCAACCCAGGGTTCGTGATTTTGGCAAGGACGGGGAGATAGCGAGTGCCTACAACCACGAGTATGGCTGCGGAACTCACTAAGTTATGCAGAATCTGTCGCTCTGCCGAAGGGGTGTGCACCACTGGCTTCCGCAAAACCCATGAACGAGCCGATCCAATGCGCCGTCTTCAGGGAGCCGCTACCCGTTGAACAAGAAGGAGAAGAAGAGCACCAGCCGGAGCCAGCGGGGGGAACGTAGAAATCACCAACCACGACCAGATGACACAGTTTGTAACACGCAAAAGATTGCATATACAGTACCCGCCGGACCGGTTGGACAAATGGATAGCCCGGGACATCCACGTGAGTTCAGCGTGAGACTACGTAGACAGCACCACGGGGGAACCACTGAGCGCAGAGGAAAGGAAAGAGTACGAACGATACCAGAGACTCTTCCACAAGCGATGCAAACTTGGGGAAAAACAGACCGGCTTGTGCGCAGTGTCGACCGCCACATGCCCCGGATAGCCGCCAGCTGCACAACGCGGACATCCAGTCAGACTTCTGCCGAGCCAACGCTGGCACGAGGTTCGTCAGATTCAGGCCCGCATGGCCCAGTTTCGAGACAACGTACGTGGCAGACCACGGTGAGGGAGTGAGTGAACGCTGGCGAAATTCAGCAAGTCACAGGTTCGTTGGGGGAATGACAAGTTTTGATTCGTCTGTGTTGCTTTCTGACATGGGTTTACTTGTGCGTTGTGCCCTGCTTTTGGCTTACCATGCATATCTCAGGCAGCCAATTTGCAGCTTGATTAGTCGGACGGACCGCGGAGCCACGACACACTATCATGCATGGGCATCAAGCCCACCAATTCGTATAAAAAGTTCTGAGTCGATACATTCGACGCGAGGGATACCTACAGGGGGGAACCCGTAATTACCGAACGCAACCTTCCTCTACAGATTCTGCCTAGACCGTAAACCCGCCGTATTCGTTCACTGCATGTTTCGTTATTTCCAGCTGTTGCTCCACCCTGCAAACAAGGCGGGGGAAACCAAATGACTTTTCGGTAGATACCTAGTTTGGGGGACCGCCCGTCTTCGTGACCTGCTTGTGTTGTGTTGCGGCAGTGTTTACAGTCCGTTGGCTTTACTGGGGGACACCGTCTGTCGCAGGACTAAGGAGTTTGCTTCAGAGAGCGCAGGGACGAGGCCTGAGGTTCATCTAGTGTTCAGGGGGGGGCGGTTCCATGACCGACAGACGACTGCCAGCTAAACCGCAGGGGGAAAACAGCCCCTTGTTTTGAGGCCCCGATGCCCCTTTCCACCAAAAAAGGGGAAGGGGGCGCCTTGGCGCGGGCTCCGTCGGAGCTCAACCCCTGCGAAGCGAAACGAAGCGGAGAGCGAGAGAGAGCATACGGAACTCTCGCCGAGCACGAATAGCGCAGCAAGACACTCACAATCACTCGCAGCAGCACCAACCATGACCGCCGCGCTTGGGACGACACTGCAAGCAATCACAGCACCAGGGGAGGCAGCGACACGTGCCCAACACAAACAAGCGTACTTCGCGCCCAGCAGCAGCAGCAGGGACAGCCATGCAGCCAAGATCGCCACCGCAACAGCCAGCCGCGATGCACACGCAGGTGACCGCGGTGACCTTAACTGAATGGAGGCAGCTGTGACCACCAACCATGACTTCAGCAGTAATCTTCTGGACCTCGGCAGTCTGCCCGCTTTCTCGCGCTTCCCGAATCGGGGACTCCGACGAGAAGGAGAGGAAATGGGTAGGGCAGGCAAGAGCAACAGGCAGAGAAAAAGGGACGGAGGGGAAATTTCAAGATACGTGGGACAAATGTGCGCTGAACGATGTTGGCCTTTGCAGTGCGAGCTGACTTCGAGAGACAGGTCCTGCATCATAACGCGTGGCCGAACAGATCTTGCAGGAACTGTGCTTGGTATAGTTCTCGGGATACGCAGGAAGTACGACGTGGCACCCTCCTCCACCGGCGACACAGATGCCACGAGAGTACCGAGGAGCATGCAACAAGGACGGCCCCAGCAGCTTCGCGATCGGCCTGGAATTGCAGCATGCGCACCTGCTGAGGACTCGGAAGTTGGTGGCTTGATCCGTCTTGCCATTCGACAAGCCGCACCAAAGACGGAGGCAGTTGGCAAATGCAAAAATTGGCCAAGCAAAGCTGCGGTGCGTGGTGAGGCTTGGCTTCCAGAGCTATCACTGGACTGACGACGAAGTTCCATCTGAGCAATTCATCCTGCTTGCCTTGACGAATCTCGCTTAGTCTTGTTTTGTCCATAAGGCTTCAACCTGCTGGCGACATGCGTTGCCCACTTGTTCTCGTGGTCCTCATAGTCAGCCGCAAGTAGTTGTACTTTGCCCGGTTTAGCTACGAGGTGTTCTCAGTTCTCAACCCTTGCGGTGTCTGGAAGGCTGCATCTATGTTGGGCCTCCTGCCCTGGAGCAGGGTTCAAGAGTTGATGCCATCCATTCGTGACGGGCATGGTGGTTCTCTGTCCCTTGTTTCTGGTATGCCAGGACTTGCCATGGCAGCCTAGTGCCTTGCGCTAATGTCTTGGCAACTGAAACACATCTTTATTCTAGCAAATTTACCAGTACGCAGTACACAGAAATCAGAAATTTGTTGCTTCTGTCGTGTGTCGCCTTGCGCTCTCCTTTTTTTGGGGTGTGCTGTTACCCGCTACGGGTGCACCGCCTTTACGTCTCTATTGCAGGGTTACAGCTATATCACCTATGCATGCCTTGCATAGATGGAGACAGGCACAATTCTCACTGATCCATGGTTTACTTGCGGACGAAAAATCTTCGGGTTCGTTTGCATCTGAGAGTGCTCAGTGCTTATGCATGTGCCGCGCTTCACACTCAAAGATGCTTCATCAACACTTTCCTTTGGTGGCCTTCCTTTCATACATAAGGTCCCGTTAGCGGCAGGCAGTCGGCAACAGGCTTGGGGCGAAAGTATGCTCTGCACAGTTCTTTTGAACATGAGACAGCGCCCTGGATGTTTTCTTGATGCCTTCGCCAGCATGAGGTGGAATACGAAGAGCAAGATTTGGAGCCAGAGTGCTGCACCCAGTCATCTTGCCGATGATGAACCAAGCTGTGGTTGTTGCTAGAGCAGGTCTTGCTCTTTAATCCTTCCCACATCGCAAGGGTGGCTCACGGTGTCTGGGTCGGCTCTTCAACATTACCAGGATGCAGAGATCAATGCAGAAGTTTATAAATCAGCAAGTGGGTCTGGCCACGGTAGACGCTCCTTGTAGACTGGAGCTTCCTTGGGTAGCTGGGGATGCCATAGGCGGCGCTTGTTACGTTCCCCTGATCTTGGATTGATACTGTTGGGGACTCGCGGTTGTAAGTGGGGCTAGTTGGATAACGGGAGCTGGGCAGCTGTGCGATCTCTAGACAACGGTTTTCAGCCGCTCTGACCGTGAATTCGGGTTTCATCCTGGACAGAAAATCTGAGGTATGTGGAGCGGATTGTTGAAGTACCTCGGGTTCGAGTAGACCATGTTGAAAGGATCGTTGAGGCCAAACCCCACGCAGATTGCTGGTTGGGGCTTGCTGCGGACAACACATCATGTGCAGGTACCCGAAATCCAGATGGTGGACAGAATTGTGGAAGTTCCTCAAATTCAAGATGCCGCGGCCTGAAGTCTGCCCTCCACAAAGCATAAGGAGCCCACAAATTTGAAGCATTTCCATTTCGTTTTCACCGTAAGAAGGTTATGGAAGCAGATGGGAGATATGGAGGCCGCATCATTCAATTCCGCAGCGTTGTCATCATTTCCCGAAAATTGCGAGGACAGGGGCGTGGAGGATTTGGCTTCGGCGGAAATTCTGGGATGGGTGGAGGCGCAGGCTACGGGCCGGGAGGAGGATGTGGGCCTGGCTACGGTCCCGGTGACTACGGTGGCGCGTCGGGAGGCTACGGTCGTGGTGGTTGCGGGCCAGGAGGATGCGGACCTGGCAGCTACGGACCTGGCGGAGGCTGTGGGCCTGACGGTTGGGGGTCCGGTGGCTATGCACCAGGAGGATGCGGCCCTGGCGGTTACGGACCAAATGGTTGCGGACCTGGTGGTTACGGGCCGGGTGGTTTCGGACCGGGTGCCTGCGGCGCTTACGGACCTGGTGGCTGCGGACCCGGCGGTTGTGGGCCCAACGGTTCTGGACCTGGCGGTTGCGGACCTGGCGGTTGCGGACCTGGTGGTTGTGGACCTGGTGGTTACGGGCCCGGCGGTTGTGGACCCGGCGGTTGTGGACCTGGCGGTTGTGGTGGTGGTTGCGGTGGGCCTGGAGGATACGGTGGGCCGGGTGGTTGTGGACCTGGTGGCTGTGGGCCAGGTGGGTATGGGCCGGAGGGAGGTGTTAACTTCGCTTTTACAGGCGGTGCTGTTGACGTTGGCTCATCCACTGGAAGATATCCGTACTATGGTGACGAAGGCTCGCTTTGTGTTCGGAGTCTTTGGTCCGTGTCTCAGCAGTCCAGCTTTTTGCAGGTGCCTCACGCTTTGGTGGAGGCTTCGGTGGTGGAGGCTTTGGCGGAGGTTCCTGTGGAGGCGGACCTGGCGGTGGACCTGGCGGGTTACCTGGTGGGTTCGGAGGTGGAGGTGGACCTGGTGGAATGGGCGGCTATGGCCCGGGAGGTCCAGGCAGAGGACCTCGAGGCCCGCAGTGCTCACAATGCATGCAGTCCCCGCCCCGAAGCTCCTTCGCCCCTTCCCTCCGCAGAAGTGCTGTGGAAAGCTGTTTTCAGGCTTCGGGGCGGCGGGAAGAGGCAATTTGCCAGTGAAAGTGATTACCCGAGAGGCCCACAAGCGCGGCAGGCAGGGATGCAGTCGGGTTTCTTTGCCAGAGGCTTGATTGGCAGGTGCCAAAAGTAGAAGTCAAGCAGGTGGAAAGGGTCGTGGAGGCGGGGTTTCCGTTGATGCCTGAACTGGGCACCCGCTGCGCCGCTCTGCTTCAGACTGTTCCCTGGTTCCAAGGTTCCCAACATAGAGTACGAGGACCGTCTTGTGGAAGTTCGCGAGGCTCAGATCCTTTGCCAATGCCACTATCAGTCCCAAGTGAGCCAAGTGGGCATGCTTGGCTCAGCCTCCAATCTTCTTCCACTTGTCAAAAGCTCCCGGTCTTGAGATCGCCAGACAGGATCAGGACAGCCACGGCAGCCGAGACAGTCGGAACGTCGGGTTTCTCCTTCGGAAGTGCGAAGTCGGGTCCACCGATGGACCGATGACGAAGTCGGAAGGTTACTGTCTGACAGCAGTCTTTCGAGGCTTGTTGTAGGACCTGCTGCGCTGGCTCGTTCGTGTCGCAAGCGCTCCATTAGGATCGCCGCTTCATGCGTCCGAGTCTGGGCTTTCATGTCTCACCATCGCAGCCCGTGCCCCTCACGTCGACCCTCGCAGGCTCGATCTACGTCGCCGCTCCGCCGCCTTTCTCTGTCCCGGTCTCATCGACGCGTTGCGAAACTTTGTCGGTGGCCAGAATGGCTGCAGCAGGAGCTTTTCTGGCAGCACTGCCAGCTGTTTTCCATGCACACGGTGTCCGTCACTTTCCAAATATAATCTCCCTAAAACTATGTTAACGCAATTCCGGGATGCTTGGAGGCTGAGTTCTTGTTCTTTACGCTTGGGGTTAGCCGAAGGCCGAAAACGCCTCAAAACAGGACATCGCCCGAGCAAAGAGAAGATGCTTTATAGGCTTCAGGCCATCGCCCCAAGCAGCTACTTGTAGAAAGAGTTCCTTCTTCCCGAGCAGTGTCCACTCTCTGGGACTTCGACGTCTTTTGCCCCACAAGTCTATAGCTATCTTAGTGCCGTGCATTTCTGGGGTTAAGGCCACGCCAACAGTGTTGCGCAAAGAAGCACACAAACAAGCTATAGCTTTCTGGCACCTGGCGCCTTGTGTGAGCATGCGTAGAGCATGTTGCAGCAGGGCGATAGTACGGCAATGATGGAATCGAGCTGGAGATAAGATGGAGAAACAGAGGGAGAGGAGGGGGAGAACGAGCGAACTTGGCAGGTCCGCGAGGTGGTTCGACGCGTCCCACGCATCGAAGTGCGAGAAATCCCGATTGAGAGGGTAATTCAGGCAGGGCAGACCCTGGCAGGCTGCTTGAAAAGCACCGATTGCTGCAGGTACCCAAGAAAATTGTTCAGGAGGTGGAAACGCCTGTCTATCGTCCAGTGCCACATCTGGCGCCTGGCTTGGGTACGAGAAAATCCAGCATGGCATCTTCGTCTTTGGTTCCTCCGCCCTTCTGCCCCGATGCGAGGTGAAGCAAGAGGTGGAGAGGGAAATTCCCATCCCAAAGACCTACACGCAGACACTGGAGGTCGTGAAGCAGGTGCGCGTTAGGAGATGTTATGAGCTTCACTCCGGCACTGTCGAAGCATGCTTCGGGAAGGTATCAGTTCCAACCAACGAATCTGGTGCTGTTCTGGCACAGTCTGCCGTGGCACCGCAGACAGCGCAGGTTGCATCCGTGCCACCTGCAGTGGTGCACGCACCCAGCGTGAGCAGAACGTATGCACTACCGGCCATCCCCAGCACAGGTCCAGGATCTGCTACCCAGCTTGCAATCACGAGAAGCTCGTGAAGAGATCAGGAGCTCCAAGAGGAGTCTTGAAAACCGAGGCTTGCATGGGTACTCCTACGGACAAGACGCCCGTGGCGCTCTCGACGGTGTCGCCTTCTATGCCTTATGCTGGGCAGACAATGCAGACATTGCCAGCCCAGGCCAGGCATGTCGAAGTAGATTGAAAGGTAACAAGCGACGTTGCACTGGCGTCATGTCCTCTCGATTGATAGATCGTAAGGTGCCTCCAAGTGCTGTTGGGGCTGCGACACCTCCCGCAATGTATCCCGCTTCGGCAGTTGAGCTGGCACGTTTTGATGATATCTGGTCCAGCAGAAGGAAATTTCCACGTTGCTTGTGGTTGCAGAACGTTTGCAGATTCAATTCCTGAATTGGGTTCACTCCGGCCATAGAGAGCAGTGATGCCATGCCAGCTGGCAACTTCGAGTACGGCCGGTCGCAGCATGTGCGTTTGGCACTCGGCCAGCAGCCGGACATGGTCCGTGTTTGCAAGCTTGCTTGATCGGCTTGATTGGCATTGCGAGGCGTCGGTGGGCTCCATGGCTCCCGGCAGCGTGCAGACGGGCATCGTCGCGCCTGCCGTCGTGCAGCACTCAGTTGGGAATTTTCTCTGCTCGAAACTACAGTAATCACATTTAGTCACTATTTCAGCCTGTCAGGCTTCGATGGCACCGCCTGCGCTGCCATCGCAGCCGATTCAGACATACACTCAGGGAAGCATCGCCTACCCGGCCTACCCGTCGGTGATGTTCGTCTGCCTGGCCTGTTGCAGAATGCTCGCTGCAAGCCGTGGCTGTGCCAATTCCGCAGGCGACTGGCGGAGCTAGTGCGGTGCGAGCCTCGAAGCACAATCAACTTCTGAGGAGTGCTGTTAGTTACAGCAAGGCCGGAGCCGCGACTCCGCCCATGCAGCTACCTGCATGTTTTGCCTCGACGCGACCATCTCATGCGGCCATGCGGTGATAACATCTATTTTGTCCTGCATGACAGGGCGCCCAGCTCCGCGGTTATCCAGGGGACAGGCTTCAACTGCAAGCTGACGCGAGACTGCTGTGAAGATCCACCCAGCGAATCCAGGCAACCTGTCACAGGCTGCGAATCCCTTTGCTACCGTGTTGCTGCCCCAGTCAGGATTGTAGGGGTGCCGGGGTGCCGGCATCTGACATGATACCTGAGGCAAGGGGGTCTCGTGGTGCCACAAGCACAGGCTGGACCCTTGCCAGCCAAATACTGCGAGACCAAAATCCCGGGCCTTCTGTACAAAGCTGCTGAGCGGCTCAGGCCGGCAGCGACCTTTTCAGCAGACTCGATGCTGATGGCAGCGGCACCATCACGCGAGAGGAGTTCGAGAAGGCTGGCCATGGCATGCGGCACCTTGTCAGCTCAGGATGCTTGACACTCGCTTGCGGCTGTAGGCGACGCCCACAAATGTGGTGGGCAGCGGCGTGATGTACGTGTGGCTCTTGGCTCGACTCCGCCACTTGAAGCCCGGGCATGCAAAGTGTCTCTGGAACTGTTCGCCCTTCTTCTACTGGTTCCATTATCCGCTTGAATGGCTTGCATATGCCTGCCGCCTGCCGCCTTAGCACAAAACCCTGACACACCTTCACAATTGTTCAAAGCTCTGCTAGCCAGGTCATTGGCATTGGAAGCGGTCACATGCCATCATGCAAGAAAACTTCTTTTGCCAGATCGCTCTGCAGCTTAGTTCATGTCCTCTCTGGACATGTCCTTTGCACTGTCTTTTGATCGATTTCCCAGACACTTTCTAGAGTCTAGCCGAAACGACTGCGGGCGTGAGACAATTGCCAACACCGATGGCTTTGTTCTCATCATGTAGAATGGTGTGTGCTCGTTCTGGCTGGTGGTCTTGGCCATTCTGTCCAAACGAGCCAATGCCATCGGTGATCGCCGTACTGACCTTAACTGCCAGCAAGACCCGTTGTGGCATCGAAACTCGGGTATTGCCCCCACCACGATGTCACTACGTCACAAGGATGTCGGCGAAATGAACATGATAGATAAACATCGCTTTCAATGTATCACAGGATCTGCACCATCAGAACTGTTCTTGTGGCAGCGTCAGCTGAATCATTTTGCGTGTCGCAGTAAATTACAGGCGTTTCCGACCAAGCTTGCAGCCTCTTCCACAACTGCCCGGCATGGCGAGGCATCGGTGGGCTCCATGGCTCCCGGCAGCGTGCAGACGGGCATCGTCGCGCCTGCCGTCGTGCAGCACTCAGTTGGGAATTTTCTCTGCTCGAAACTACAGTAATCACATTTAGTCACTATTTCAGCCTGTCAGGCTTCGATGGCACCGCCTGCGCTGCCATCGCAGCCGATTCAGACATACACTCAGGGAAGCATCGCCTACCCGGCCTACCCGTCGGTGATGTTCGTCTGCCTGGCCTGTTGCAGAATGCTCGCTGCAAGCCGTGGCTGTGCCAATTCCGCAGGCGACTGGCGGAGCTAGTGCGGTGCGAGCCTCGAAGCACAATCAACTTCTGAGGAGTGCTGTTAGTTACAGCAAGGCCGGAGCCGCGACTCCGCCCATGCAGCTACCTGCATGTTTTGCCTCGACGCGACCATCTCATGCGGCCATGCGGTGATAACATCTATTTTGTCCTGCATGACAGGGCGCCCAGCTCCGCGGTTATCCAGGGGACAGGCTTCAACTGCAAGCTGACGCGAGACTGCTGTGAAGATCCACCCAGCGAATCCAGGCAACCTGTCACAGGCTGCGAATCCCTTTGCTACCGTGTTGCTGCCCCAGTCAGGATTGTAGGGGTGCCGGGGTACCGGCATCTGACATGATACCTGAGGCAAGGAGGTCTCGTGGCGCCACAAGCACAGGCTGGATCCTTGCCAGCCAAATACTGCGAGACCAAAATCCCGGGCCTTCTGTACAAAGCTGCTGAGCGGCTCAGGCCGGCAGCGACCTTTTCAGCAGACTCGATGCTGATGGCAGCGGCACCATCACGCGAGAGGAGTTCGAGAAGGCTGGCCATGGCATGCGGCTTGGCTGTGGGCCACGGCTTTCTGTGTGTGTGTGTGTGTGTGTGTGTGTGTGTGCGCGCGCTTTGTCGCGACTGCGCTGGCAGACAGCCTGGTCACCTTTCAATGTTGCAGCTGGTCCTTATCAATGTAGAAGAGAATCTATGAAGAGAAGGATTGTCTTGTACCCCCGCACATCTAGCAAAATCCAACATGTTCTGGAACTCTAGGACTCTAGAATCGAGAATTTCGAATTAAAATAATATGGTCTTTAACGTCATTTCATTTTGGCGACTAATTGTTCAGTCAATACTTATGCCATGGCAGAGACTGGTGAAGCGGGACGGATTCTTGTCCCAATTCAGTGTTCAGTGTGGGTGGGCCTGGGCTGCCGAGCTTTGATTCCAAGGAAGCGGCCCAAGGGCTCCTCCGCGAGTCCGACGGTGCTCCTGGGATCCTCCAGCAAGTGGCGGAGAGCGATCTTCGCGCGCTGTGCTCGTCCGTGTCATCTACCGCGTTTACTGTACCTATGCCATCCTGCTCTAATTCGAGGCAGCACTTTCCGGAATGTGGGTCAGACTTCCTTAGTCCAGACATCGATGAAAAGGCTCGGTTGCAACTAGCCGGTTCTCATGAACGGTGAAACATTGGCCCTTCAAGGCTATCCGAGCTGAGAAACCGGAGGAGATGTGCATGGCCATCGCTAGAGCAAAGGCGACAGCGAAGTGAGCTGTACGTGCTTCAGTTCGGGGGCAGTGCTCCGATGAGGCAGACGCCCTCGCTCCGAAAGTAAAGGGCAGAGATGTCTTGCTGGTTTGCATGGACCAGGCACCAGTGGGGGGGAAAGATTTTGTGTCGTGATTGGACGCACATTGACCATTGGGAGGGGTAGTTGCGAGGTGGTCAGTTGCGACGGTCAGATAAGAGAAAAGCCGGAAACTGAAGCAGAGGCGGTTGTGGAGCACAGATGTTTTCGCGAGCACCAAACTCACGGGTTTGAAAAGCTTCCAGGCGAGGCAGTTCCTGGAGTCCTACAGGTTCCGCAGCATAAAGCGTCTTTGCCGTGGCATTGATCTGGACTCTTTGGTCCAGGCAAGGCAGGCATGCCAGCTTCATCAACGGAATGGTTGTCCTGAATGCAGCAACTGGCAGGCCCCCGTCATTCGCGCTTTCGTGCTGTCGTGCAACTGTTGTCGTCAGGTGCGCTTCGTCCTTAAACTCATCAAAGGCGTTCTGGAAAAACTTTCCGGATGAGGCACAACACCGAGTGCGTGGATGTGTGCAACATGGAACTTTGTGCTCAAGGAAGGATTCTCGACCCGGATTCTGGAAGTGCGACGCAGGCTTTCTCATGTGCAGGTCGTAGATGCCTTGATCAAGAAGGGCGACTTGTTCACGTGCGCTGGCGGAGTCGTGGTTGGGCCCTCATGGGTCCTTGCAGGCTTTCTCACATCTCACAGTCGTGACAGTGCCAGGTTGAGGATGAGCTGCTTCAACCTTACCTACGTTGTATAGAGGCCCTTCCCGCTGCGCTGAAGCCAGAGCCAGGCAGCGGCTGACAGTCGCGAATCGCTGCCAGGGAACGGAAGAGTCCGTGCAGGGTCTGCCCCTGAAGCCGTTGCGCATGCTGCTGGCGCGTGCTCAAGCTCCTGCATCGGCCTCTGGACCCTGTACAGCCTGTACAGGCCGCTAAAGTATCACTAGGACTAAGCAGCTCAGGCTGTGACACATGTCATCTTTGACATGGATGGGCTGCTCCTGGACACGGAAAGCCAGCGCCTTTTGCAGCGGCACCATGCTCAAGCCGCACCAAGCCTAGCTTGTGAGGCTCTTACAGTGTAGCTCAGCAGGAGATCCTTGACAGATGGAATAGGTGCCTTTTGCACCTGTCTTGCCGGCACGAAGCTTCAACTTCTGCCGTGCCGGAGCGGGCAGGAAGTTCACGTGGGACCTGAAGGCCAAAATGATGGGCAAGAAGGCTTGGACAGCTCTTTGGGAGAACGTCCGATGGAACTTTACGATGTGCCATTTTGAAATACCGCGACGGTGGTGGCTCGCAGCTGAGAGCAAGACTGGACAAGCCGTCGACAATTGTCACGCACGAGATGCAATAAAAAACTCACCCTAGCCACACTGACATAGTCTTTCGGAAGCACAATTAAACTCACAAGTAAACTGATGAATAACAGATAGAGGGGAGACTTAGCCTTGCCAGGGTGATCCGAAGCCAGGCCCCAGGCCATGGCCATTTCTGTGCCATCGCAGAAGACAGCCCACTTCTTCGTTTTAATTGCTCAGGCCAAGGCCATGGAAAGCGGCTTCGAAATGGAGAACCACCAGGTCACCGAGTCACAATTCGAATAGCTGCCTTTGCACCAAATGCTGAGAAAGTCTGGCAGGTGGCTGCGCTGGTACTTTTTGTGCCGCTGCTGGTTGCTCTAGCATTCTATGCCCGGAGGCGTGGGCACAACCTGCACACGGGCTCCGCAGTGAACGCTCGTCGTCACGTTTGAATGTTTGCAGATCACTTCCGGGCAAGCTGAAGAACCGGGGGAGCTTTGAACATGAGGCAGGAAGAAGTGTTGCAATCCTGCAGATTGTGCTACTTGAAAGAGCCGTAGCACCTGTCTGTGCCCACTTTTCACCGTGATCTGTACTCTGTCACTGAAGTCCATGGTGCAATCCCCCTTGCAGGATCCTGCAAACGCACAGTCCATGTCAGAGCGGCGGCGTGACTTCTGCCGCATTGTTGCAACAAAGAGGGTGCTTTGCCTGCAATTGGAAACAACACGTCCTGAATCTGGTGCCTTGCTCCATGGGGTCGATGAGACTCGGGTTTGAGTCGCAAGTCTCCAGGCACTCAGCTTTCCTAGGAAAATGATGCGCATATGCCGCCAAGAAGCCGGCGAAGATGTCAGGTGAATTGTGTTGGGTGTTCAGAAGGTAAGCTTGAGCTCGTTCACAAGTGATAACGCCTGACAAGTATCACACCTATTTTAGAAGCGCTCTCTTTCACTGGTGACATCTCCCTGCCTGAGCTCGGTGGTCTGACTGGCATTTTGCTCGCCACCGGGCCACAACTCTCCTCGGAAATCAGCTACTCCGTGCAGATGCAATCTTCACCCCAGCGAAAGTTCACAGGCCAGATAGTGATGCGAAGATTAGGGCTTCCGAGGACCTTTGGGTCTTCACGGTGGAGGAGCGCCAAGCCGGTCGATTCCTCCCAATCGATTTTCCGCCGGGCATGAGCCCAGAGACTGGCGACCCAGCTGCGGAGAAGGCGGAGAAGGGCTGTCAGAGCACTTCAGAGTAGCAGCCTGTGGCCTGCGGTGAACTTCTGTCATCCTTTGAGCATACTTTGCAAGGTGTGCTATCAGAAGCTCAAATGGCAGCGCCCTTAACACCCTGTGCGAGGTATACATGAGACTTGTGGCTTGTCCGTGGGATGTCTGAACGTTTCATCGTTTTGAGCAGCTCAGAATGGCAATTTCAGGTGGTTGCAGCAAGAACTGGGACGGATCCCTGGCGCAATCGATCTTGGAATGACATCGCAGTGGGCAGTGGTGGATCGAATCATGTATTTCATCAGCGCCAGTCCTGGATTTGACTTTGTGATGCAACACAAAGTCCCCCCGCGGATTCTGCAGCCGAAGTATGTTTTGCTCATTTCGAAGGCGAGGCCAGAGAGCACATGTTCGCTCATCTTCACATGTGTGCGTCAGTCATGCGTGTTTGGGTTAGCATCGTAGAGCAAGGATCGCAAGGATCAAGTTGCCTGTGCAGGGTGGACAAGTTCGAGTTGCTTGGTTTGCGTTTGTGAGCAACAATCCAGAGCCGGGAGCCACTTCTGGGCCATTCGTAGTGAAGCTTGTGAGCGAAGACCTTCGGTCTGCTGATAGAGACGCAAGAACATTTTCCAAGTTTTCATACACAGCAGCAGCTGCACAGAGTGCAGACATGGAAAAAATAATTTCAGGCATGGTGCCTCAGATACTGCAAGGTATTGATTCAGACAGATGGAATGCCTTCGAGAAAGCTTAGGCTCATTTGATGCAACCCGAAAGAGAAGTTGCCACAAGTGCTTGCCAAGAGAATCAGGCATTCCGAGAAGCCATGCCCGTGCAGGGCAGACGTCTCGCATGCGAATATGCATGTGGCGAAAAGGACGCTGCAATTCTGTGTTTGCAGAGTCTCCTCTTGAAGGTTACCTGATTCTTCTGCATTTTCTGCTCGTGAGGCACTTGATGCTTGCCAGATTTGCATTGACGAGCTGGAGCGGGTGCTATCGGGTCTGTGCCAGAGTTCAGCAATCCGGAAGCCGCGAGGAGCTGTCGGATCTGATCTCGGCTGAAGACTTTCTCGCAGAGCGAGAGAAGAGGCGCCGCCTGCCGAACGGCGATCCGCGGCGCGCGCGCGCTGACGTGGGACCGCGGGACCGCGTGACTATGGCTTTCGCGACCAGGCTCGAGGTCCTTTTCGCGAAAGCGGCCCTCATGCCTGGAGTTGCGCGACTGGTGCGACACCTTCACAGGCCGAATCCCTTCCGGGCCGCTGCCGGGTTCCGTGCTGCAGTCTTTTAGCAGGAGCGGCGTGCCGATGGCTGTAGCGACGTCCTCCCATCGTCGCCACTATGACCTGAAGACCAGTCTGCATCGAGAACTTTTTGGTCTCATGCATCACGTTGTAACGGGGGACCAGGCAGGACATGGCAGGACTGCAAGGCTGCAAGACCATTTGCTTTGAGCTTCCTTTGAGACACCGGCAGGTCAGCAAATCCAAGCCGGATCCACAAATCTTTAGCCATGCTGCCAGCCTTTTCGATGGGATGCCAGCAGCTGATACAATCCTCGTCTTCGAGGTGCCTTCGGCGCCTTGTAGTCCTACCGCGATTTGTCAATGCATGTGAGGACGCCCCGAGCGGTGTAGAGGCAGGTCTTGCTGCAGGGATGCAGGCCCGGCTGCCCCTCTCGCGGCTTGTACCCACTGCTGCACACCAAGCCAGGTCTGTCACGTTCCAGACATAAATCTTTCTCGCGACTTGTGTGGACAAGCCCATTGCGAACTCCTCTCTTTGGAGGAGACTGGTGGGGCCGGAAAGCTGTCTTAAAGTGCTAACTTCAGCATGAGGACTTTCGCCCGGAAGACTGGGGCCTGCCTCCATTCTGACGTGATGCTTGCAAGCGCAGGGGTGAAAATGGAGAGGTCGTGAGTTCTTGCTGTGATGTCTGATTTCCTGCAGCGAGGAACTGTCGTGAGGCAGCAGACGTACCTGTTACTGCAGGCAATTCAGCAAGGAATCGTCAGCTGAATCTTCGCTCCGTTCTGGACTCACCAGTGTTCGGTCACTGGTGCGAAATCCAAGTTTCACGGTCCTGCTAATTGCCAGCGAGCCATTCAGCAACTCTGCGGTGAGCGCCAGGAACTGCGCAGCAGCGCAAAGCGTTCGGCAAAGATCTCCTGTCGATTTGCCGTGACATTGTTCATAGAAGCCATGCTGGAAAGACAGCAGGCAATCGATTTGAATACTCGCGACGTTGGGAAAGCTGCCGACGCACTGAAATGTCCACGTGAATGTAAGCAGCATGCAGCGGATGCTGGTTGCCTGGTTCTCGCATGCAAGCGTTCATGCTCTGGCCAGAACCATTTAACGTCTGCATGAACAGGGTCAAGACTTTTAAAGTCTCATCAGGAAAGGAGATTGCTGAGAAAGCTACCGGAGGGTGGGTTCACAGGTTCTCGTGGACTAGAAGCAAGAGACACCAAACGAGGGACATCAAGTCCATAAGGGCTGAGAGTGCCTTCGGTATACCACCACATCACTTTGAGCCCGATGTTGGCACTGCCAGCTCCGGGGATCGGAGATGATGTCTCCAAGCAAGACAGAGTCACGTTGTGCGCGCCGTGCTCTCAGTGAATCCTTTGGATGCTTGAACCCATCCGAGGTGGCGCAGGTCCTGTGTGGCATCCTGCTGCGATCGCCAATGCCTCAGTCAAAAGAAAGCAGAAGATCTTACTGGTAGCAGACATGGCACCTTAGGCGAAGACTAGAGCCGGCGGGCCATGCATTTCATGCAGTGCACGAGAAACCCAAGATCAAGGCTCCTGCAGCTCTGAATTCCAGGGATGAGTAGACTGTTGGTGGCGATTTTGCACCGCCGTGACAGGGGCCCAAGCAGCGTGAGAATCGGCAGAAGGCCAGGCTATGCTGGACACCTGCCGAACAATACTCCGCTCTCACGAGGACGCTCCCAGCGACGATGAATCACCACCGCCGGACTCTTGGAGGAGCGCTTGCTTTTGTGGCGAGGTGTCCGTATGTGGCCTGAAATTCTGGACTTGACAGGAAGAAGAAGAAGAATGAAGGGGGCGGACGAACGGGTGCGTTGAGGCTGAGCCCTTTGTTGACTGGCGATGAGCCTAGTTTCGTTAAAGATGTTGCAGACTGCAGGACAGTTTGAGAGCTGCAGCGTCCTGTGTCTAGGTGTTTCTTGCGCAGTCCATGCCTTGAAAGTTCAACTGGCCCAACTAAATATGCTCCAAAGGCGAGAACTTGTACCACTTGCTGGAAGTTGGCGAGGCAGCCTCCGTGGAGGCTTCCTGTTGCGGCGCTGGACAGAGTCGACTGTAGCTCGCAACATCGCGTGCCCGTGCAGCAAATCAAGAAGCAATACCGCAAGCTGGCTCTTCAACATCACCCTGACAAGCAAGGCACGCGTCGCTTAGAACATCTTTTCGTTCAACAACTCCTGAACGAGGCGACACCGAAGAGAAAGGAAGCGGCTTGAGTGAAAAGGTCCACACACGGCAGCTGGTCGCGTCGCTGTCCGTTGTGGAACGGTTGTCGGTCCTCCCCCTAGGACCAACACTTCATCAGGATTCAGGAGGCTTATGAGGCCCCAAATCAGCAGCATCCCGGAGCATCGACGAGGGCACAGTTCACTTGCGGCTCTGCACAGGTTCTGTCGGACCAAGCGAAGCGGCGCCAGTGACCTCCTGGTTTTGGCCGGGGCCCAAGGCCCCGTGACAAAATGTGCCCCGGGGAGGTACGACTCAACGCTAGACTTCGACGACGCGATTCCGGAGGAGGTCCAAACACTCGGCAACGAGCTTTGAAAAAAGGCGGAGTGTGTTGCCGCAGGTCTCTGAGGGCGGCTTCTTTGACACCTTTGGGCCCGTCTTCAGACGAAACGCACGCTGGAGCACGAGGCCAGAATCGGGGCCTTCGGGACTTCGCGGCCCTGCCTTCAGCTTTTGACAGTCACCTGGAGGTTTCCGGTGCCAGAAATCGGTGACGAGAACACGGACATGGTGAAGGTTCACAAGGCTTTTGCATGCTACATCCGTACACTGCAGGCGTCTGTTCTTTCCTTGGTTGCCTCCAAGTGCTCTCAATCGCTTTCGAGATTCGCAATCTAAGCACCTTGATCGAAACGAAGCGAATCTCACGACTCAGGGGCGGTTGTGTGGCAGTGCAACTCTGCCAAACCGGGTAATTATCCTCTACAGATGCATTGCATGATTATACATGTGTCATGCTGACTAAACTACATGAGCAAGTGCCCTCTGGATCGTGGGAGAGCTCCACTGGGTCATTGCAACTTTCACGTCAGTTCTATGACTTCTGGCTGTCCTTCGACTCCTGGAGAGATTTCTCCATGCACGACGAGTGTCCCTGCACTGCACTACGATGTGTAGAGTTGCCTTCAGCACGAGAGGTACAATCTCGATGATGCAGAGTTCCGCGAGGCGGACATCAGCATGGAAAAGGAGTAAAGCTAATCGCCAACGACGTGAACAGAACCGGTGTGGCTGTTGCAGTGGCAGAAAGAAGCACCTGGAGAAGTCTGTATTCCCTCGTGCCAGGAACGGCGGTGGATGGAAAGACAGAATCAACGAGTTCGCAAGAAGTGCCTCCGGCACTTTTGACATTGCAGATCTACGCAGACAAGTGCGCAGGTACGTTGAGGCTGAGAGGAAGCGAATTATGCGACTTGTCGAAACGGCGAGGACCCTAGAGGGGTCACATGTTCATTTTCATGTCAACCTGTCTTTGCGGATGCAGTGCACTTCAGTGTCGGGCTTGGTTGGATTCTGGCACATCCAGTCACTGTCTCGAGATGTCTCGAGTGCTTGAGCGCGCATCACTGCGAAGTGGCCACCTGCTCTCGGTTTGACATGGCTGCTGCCCGAAGGCGGAAAGACTAGATCCTCGAATACGAGCTGAAAGAGAGGTCCACGCACCACGCAGGCTTTCGCTGTCCTATTTCGGCAATTTCTTGCGAGGCTCGCGAGAAGAAGAAGCGTGAGGAGAAGGCTCGAGGGGGAGGAAGGGGCGAAGGGCCCCCGGAATTCGGGCTTGGCCGAGACATGCTTTTCACAAGTAGGTTCCTTGATCGCACAGCCTTCGATAGGGCCAATACAAGTCTTGCTATGAAATCCCAGCATTCCACACCTTTGGGCCAGAGGAAGCCCTCTCTCGATCCCGGCGCGTGTGCGATGCGAGACTTGTGGAGTCGTCTTCTTATTGCATGCAGGCTGCGGACCATAAGCTCCTCACCCCTACAGCTGTTGCGAATGATAAAAATCGAAGCACATGTGCGTGTGCTCACAAACACACACGCACTCACTCGACACTAGTGCTTGATTGCTGTTTGCAGTTTGATGCGCCGGGGCGATTGCCCAGCCGGTCAACAAGAACAAACTTGAGGAGAAGAGAGCGCGAGCGAAGCAGGAGGAGCAGGAGGCAAAGCAAAGAGAGGAGGAGGAGCCTCTTGTCTCTCGTCTTCTGCATTTTCCACGGAGCATTCTTGCTGCTCCGCGTGGTGAGGAGAAGAAGAGGAAGGAAGAACAGGAAGAAGCCGAGAGGATAGAGAAGGCTGGGGCTGAACAATCAGGTTTGACGAGATGTACAAAGTGTGCCGATGGTGAGACACTGTCGCCAAGGAGCGTGTGCTGCGCGAGCAGCGGAAGCAGGACAAGCAGGTGCCCACGGAAGCAAGATGAAGCAAGGCAGTCTTGTCTGTCGTGCCGACTTGAGGTGGCCAAGACCTTGAGGCAGCGCTTCAAAAAGATAGTGCAGGGGAAGTGCACTCTGCAGCAGCTGGAGATCGAGGAGGGATTGCTGTGGGCTGTAAGTGCGAGTTGTGTGAGTTTGTTGCGGTCTCATCTTATGTGAGTCGCTTGTGATATTCAGCAAGTACGGCAACTAGTAACTACAAGTACGTAAGCAGGCGACCGATTGTCTCTACAGTGATGTTGACAATGACATGGCTCTCACCCTTGAGCCGGATGGAGTGCGATGGGGTCTCAAAGCGGTCTCAGTATCCGTAGTTTTTCCAGGTCTCTTGTAAAGTGATGACGAGGGTTCTGTGTCTGCAGGTTTATGCGAAGGCCTTTGGGCTTTTCTGCAGGTTTTGGCTCGCGGGCATGTCGAGTGTCTACTTGAGCTGAGCTGGAGCTGGTGTTGCACGCAGCGCTCTTCCCGAGGAGCTTCAAGACTTCTGTCTCCTGATGGATGCGGAGAAACTGGAAGATCTGTGCATTCATCTTGAGGCCGAAACGCCCTGCAGTGAGAGTGGCAAGTCGCGTGCCTACAGAAAGCGGCTGGCAGGGAATTGCTGATGTCAAAGAGTCGGAGGCATTCGTTCGCTCGGAGCTGTGCGAGGCAACATGCTGTTGCCACTTCCTGCTGCTCCTCCCTTTCCCTCTCGGTGCCACTGGACGGTAGGGCAATCATGCCAAGCCACCTTGAACTTCCCAGACTCCATCTAGTCCGACCAAACCGCCCCTCCACTGCAGCGACTTGCAATAATTAGGCTGGCAGTTAAATAGCGGCATTGGATCAGAAGATTATCGTATTGATTAGCAGACTGGACTCGACATGCCGGGCTGGAAGACGGTATACAACCTCAATTATGCCAAGTCGGCTAAGCCAGCTAAGCACACAACCGCCTTGCAAAGCCAGCAGACAGCGTGGGCATGTACTCAGCGCACTCGTAGCATGTCCAAGTCATGAAGCAATGGTGCTGTCCATTACAAGCGTTCGAGTCAACTGCTGTTTGTGCCCTCACCGGTGCCACTGCCAAGTACTTGCTTTCACATGGCGATGCAGTTGTAATGTAGTGAACTTATGCTCTCCAAGTGAGTGGAAGCTCCGAAGATTCTGCGGATGTCATGCTCCTTTCCTTTGGCCTCAGTGCTGGGGAACTTTGGCGTTCCAGCCCACAAGTTTTGGGATCTGGTCCAGGGAAGCAAGAAGACAACGTGGTCCGACCAGAACAATCTCAGCAAAACTTGATCAAGACGCTCCCGTGCTTGCTGCTGCTGTTGCTGCTGCTGCACTGCCTGACTGCTACGGAGTAGTTGCATGTTGTCCGCTTGAGACTCAACCCTTTTCGAGGGCAGAGACAATGTGAGTGGTTGTCGCTTGCCAGGAGAAAGCTTCTAACCTAGCAGACTACCTGAGCCCCGAATCACGAATTTGGACGATGGGGAAGCCACAGAGACAGTGAAGGCATGCGGAGCCAATGCCCTGATAACCACAGCATCGAAAATCATTTGCCAATGCAGTTGGACAGCGGTTCCAACAAAGCGGGGAAAGTTGCTGCGGATGGGATCAAGCTAACGACCTGTGTGTTGCAAGCCTGTGAAAAAAGCCGCGACGGCTGGGCAGCAGCCGCGAGATGGCACAGGAACCCAACTGTGGAAGAGCAGGCGTGTCTTGCGAGATTGGGGCACCCCGCGATCGCACAGTCTGCAAGAATGCGCCGCCGCATCCAAACGCATTGGCAGTCGTGTTTTCCTTTTGTTGGTACTGTTTGCAGCACTTGACTGGACCGCCCCGGAGCTTCTGCCTCCGGAGATCGGATTTGGTATGATTTCTTTGGGGAAGCATGTGTGCATGAATCCGGCATCTGGTAAACGGCAGCAGGCTCTGGTTGCGGATGAGTTTGCGCGTTTGTGACCACGCCGACAACAAAGCCTTGCTCGCCTCAAGCACACCTCTCACATCCTGCTCCAGACTCGAGTCTCAGTCGTTTCCACCCGGGAGAAGTTTCTGACCTCAGACGATGCAAATCCCTGCAACCTCAGGCACGCAAGCGACGCACAGACGAGGAACGGCAGCGCCAGGAGAGGCAGAAGATGTGAGCGCCAGCACCGCGAAGTGGCCAGGCCAAGCTCTTGGCAGACTGGGCTCTTGCCACAGGCAGAAGCTCGAAGCCAAGAAGCGTGAGGAAGAGAAGGCCACAGAATCAAAGGACATGCTGTGGCTTTGGCTAGTAGCTAGTTTGCAGTTTGAAGGCCTAGGCGTTAAGAAGCTCTACGACCCTGCGAGTGTCGCGGCGCGCGAAAGGAGGCGGCACTGTGGACTACAGACGAACTAGGTCTTCTAGCAAAAGGTCTGCAAAAGCACGGAGCCGAAGTGAGGGTGTCTGGCGGCTGCAGGTCGTGCACCTTGCATCGAGACACTTCCACTCAGGTTTCCAGGCGGAATGGGTGGGCGGTGGAATTTGATCACGCTGCATCCTAAGTCTTCCTAAGTTTCTCGATTGGAGATCTGATGAGCCAGACAGGCAGTCTCATGTGCAACGGATACAGGAAGATGTTGAACGACAACGGATACCCTCGAGCGGAGAAGGAAGTGGTCGAGAAGACCAAGGACGTTCTTCTGACGAAAGAGGGCAAAGAGGGCAAAGCCCAAAGCCCGGTTCCTCTTCTCCACCGCGGCCACACGGCCAGGAGCTCTCCGAGGGCCAGTCGCTCCGCTCCATGGGCTCCAAGCTCGCCCAGGACTTCCAGGCGAGCGAATGAAGAGAAGAGGACAAAAGAAGACTTCATGACACCAGGGAACGTAGTGACTGAATGGAAGCAGAACTAAATTGACCTTTCTATGAATGCAACTGGTGTTTCTGTTGCATGCAGTCCACCCTTTGATTCAGTTCATTCCTACATCACCGGGACAAAAGTTTCGACATACGGAGGATTGTCTCAAAGTACCAATGGACGTGTACAGCGGAGAAGCAGAGAGGCCAGAAGTCTGTTTTACGTGGCCAGCGTGGCGGAGTAGTCAATTTCCTGGAATAAGATTATACTACTATAATGCTCTCGGCGGAGATCCTTCGGGATCTTGTGTGAAGAGTCTAAGGGGGAAACTAGTGAGTGCTTTGTGTGTTCCCTTTCACTTATTATCACCAAAAACGAATGAAATCAGTGCGTGGTTTTAACAATGAAAAAGGAGCGACACAACCACGAGCGAAACTTTCAGGGTGAACCGTCAGACCTACAAAATGGAATGTGTTGGGCCTCTTACTTCCTTGCTTTCACTTTCACCTCTTTCGTTTGTAATGAAAAGAGCGAAGCGAGTGAGCAAAAGCACATTGTTCTCAAAGGCTAGGAGAAGCGAGTGGAACGCGTGCAACATGCTAAAATCGGGCCTTGGTTTTTAATCAATTTGAACACGCGCTCCTTCGTCTGTTACAAGTTAGTAACTCAATGTCAGGCGGAAATGGGTCAATGGTCGGCTTCCTGGTTTCGTTCCCTTGAGTTGAGCTCATTCCTTGATTTCATGCCTCCATTCACTGCGCTCAATTCAATTCAAAAGAAAAGTAAACACAACACAAAGCTTTCCTCATATCTAGGGAATATAGTGAGCACTCAAAGCGAAACGAACGCCCAAATCCGTGGGCCCGCTTTGACTGCGTCCCGTCGAAAGGCGCCCAAGGCCAAAGCCAAGCCCAAGGTGCGGACGCGGACCGAGTCGTCTTCCTGCAACTTCATGAAGACTTGCAGATCCTTGCAGGCTGCGCCGCTCCAGGCCGACAAGCAAGTGGCGAAGCCCAGCAAACCTTGCACGACGCACAGCCTTGCTATGTTCAGGCGGAAGCGGAAGATTCCAAAACTGCTGCAAGTTCTGTAACAGCAGCAGAGAAGTCTGAACCGTCAAAGGCCGGGGCTAACACGGTTTGCAAGTTCGCTACAAAACAGCAGCCTAACCAGGATGTGGAGTGGACAGCAGAACAACAGCAGGCACTCGAGAAGGCACTCCAAAGGCCGCTGGGATATGGACCTCCTCTCGCCAGCATCTCCTTCCGATGCCCTTTCAGGCACCCAGCAAGCCTGGACAAGAACGAGCGCTGGAAGCTGATTGCGGCTGAGGCAGGGGCTCCCCTCTCACACTCGGTCCCGGGACTAAAAGTGAGAAGGGGGCTACTTGTACTGGAAGCGAAGCCTCTTGGATGTCGCAGGGCCGAACTAGCTCAGTGAGGACACTGCAACAGTCCTGGCAGCAGCCAAGTTGCAATTTGCTTGCCAACGAGTGCTGCCAATCGATGTTAACAGCGAAAAGTCCTTTTTTCAGACCCTTGTTTACCCTTATGGTCCTTGTGCAATGGACGGCTCAGCAGCGAGCATGTCCAACCCTGTTGAAGCGTTATCATGAGCAAGTCGACCGAGGCAACACACCCGAGCAGATGCCTCAAGCCAGGTATTGTAGAGCCTGGATTCTCGCGGACTTTCCCACGTGAGACAGTCAAAACCAGCACGATACAAGGACATCCTTATCTTCTCCAGGAGGGCATTGGATTGAAGCCGCTAGCAAGTCCCAAAGATCCCGAAGCTACAATCCATGTTGCAGACGTATCTCCCTGACTTACCCCCGTAGAATCCTCCTCGGGCCGTTCGCCCGTTGGCTTGTCATGTCGCAGGTCCCGGGCAAAACGAAAGCTCAATGTGTGGAGCGGTTCAAGTTCTTGCGGGAGCAGCTCAGCAAGGCCAGCGGCTGAGCTTCGACACTGAGCTGCTCTAGGACCGTCTCTGCGAGGCCAAGAGCTGAGCGATGCCGAGCTTCTATCGAGGGGGACTTCATGAAGGAGAACTTCGCCCTGTCCAGAACGTCCCTGCTGAGCTATGCTGGAGGTCGACGTAAGAGCAACGAAAACTACATTGTGGTCAGAAGTTGGAAGCTGGAATCGGACGTGCTGCTGTGGGCCGACTGGCCTCCTCGAGTCATCCTGTTCTGAGCATCCGCAAAGCGATGCCGTGGGTCTGTGGGCTCGCAAGAGCCTCGCCAAGACACCACGGTGCCGGCGCGAGGAGGAAGGCTTTGCTTTGACAGGGCTCATTTGCGCAGCACGTGTTTTATGCTGGGCTGACAAGTCGTAGTGCATTCTGCTGTGCCGTTTCGCTCGGCTCGATCCTGGGGCCAGGGACGGGAGCCACTAAAATATGTGCATGAACAGTTGCTTCAGCAATTTGGTCAAAACATGATCGGAACGCTGGCTTTGTGAGTGAGATGAGTAGGATTTCTCAGAGCAGCCTACATGTGAGATGCGCTTGAAGCATGGTAGTGCGAGACCTATTGTCACTCTGTGACGCATGAACTAGTACGGAAGATGACAAGATGTGTGTAGTAGCCCAAGCGCCTCTTCAGCCAACATGAAGAGCTGGGCAGTGCGACAACTAGCTTCGGCACTGCCTGCGACCGAGACCGAGTGACAGCACAACATCCTGCGAGGATCTTTCCGTGTTCCGAAGGTCTGACTACATTGACGGCATTTCGCCGGAGACAGTGCAAGCTAGTCTGGGCCGGGATATCGGCATTCTGGAGCTGAGCGGAGCAAGGGTCAGCGCGCAGGTGGCCAAGCTGAGTAGTTGGACAATAATGGACTTTGGAAGCTTGCTTGGAGAGCAACTCAAGACAGGCCGTCGAGAAGTACGGACTCGAGCTGCTTAGTAGCGAGCTGAGTGTGGATGCCTGGCGCCTACAAGCAGTTGTGATTTTGACATTCCCCACACGTTCCGACAACAGCTGGACGGGTCGCTGCGAAATGAGGCCAGAGTACCGTGGCGCCACTTGAGCTCGCAACCCACCACGCTTTCCGTGCGTTCCGTGCGCTTGGAGCTTCGCTTGCGTTCCAAGCAGCTGCTTGGCATGCCAACATCCATGGGTTGCTTTCTGAAAGAAGCAGCCATCCGAACTCTTTGACATCGTTAGTTGTGGACTTCTGGAAGCTTCCAGTAGGGTCATAGGATCATCCGAGCCCGAAGTTGACACGCGGTCCCTTGCAATTCCTAGCACTGAGAGCTCTTAGGTGACCGGCGCAGAGCTAGACACATTTTTGCTGATGTTAGTTGCGGTGCCGTGGAGCCAGTGTCACCTTTTCCTGACAACAGGAGCAGTTCTTGCATTCTACGTGTCCAAGTCCATAGTTGGACAGCTGCGGGCGCTCGCCACCGCTAAGGGTGCCAAGTCATGGACATCCTCAAGAAATCAAAGAGGCAGAGGCATCTACACCGCTGCATTCTAACATTTCGCTTCCTGCTGGTGCTGATGAGCTGTGAAGCTCAAAGCTGCGCTCTTTGTTCGCCAGGTGAAGAAGTGCGAGGAGCAGATGCTGACCGAAATGAGCTCAGTGCTGGGCTCAACCGATGCAGGTTGCTCTGGATGGCATGTGCATGCGCTGTGTGCCTGTGAAGTCGGGTCACAAAGGTCCAGGGCAACTCCTCGGGCTTTATGCTCGGACGGGTTGCGCGCGTCTCGCATGCGATTCTGCGACAACTGCGGGTGACCTTGGGCAAACTGGAGGCGTGCACCATGTACACACGAGGCATTTTCCCAAAATTTCCTGCACGTTTTGCAGAGTCGAGCATGTTCAGGCACATGTGCATCACGAACTTCCAGAAAAGGCTCGTTGCTTGAAGGCTTCAAGAGCGGGACTGTGCCATGTGAACGACAAGCCACTCCGACAAACAAGGCCCTTCTGACACTCTCGTTGGGCGAGTCGCGACTCGAAAGTGTCGGCAACGACTGGACAAGCCTGCCGCTTTTAGAGGAGCCTGACCTGCGCAAGGCTCGTCCCCGTTGATAGCTGTTGCCGTTTGCATTCGGAGCCGATGAGCGTGATCAGATCATGCTTGCCCTTCTGGAGGTGCTGAGCTTTTCCGGCTTCGAAGTGCGTCTAGGAGGTGGGGTTTGGTGAGCATGGAGTCCGTCAAGCTGCTTAGACTCAGACACTCAACAAATAATTTCCTTGAACCATGTAAATCCGCAAGCTTGATCTTCACAAGTCAGTCAATATCGCTGACAAAAGCCATGCGGTGTGCAATGCGTTGCGGTGTAGCTTATCGAAACATCTTCAGCCAAGTTCTGTCTAGTGGACTTGGCAGGTCCCTGCTATACGGTCCCAGCAGCATGTCCAGCACGGTTTTGGAAGATCCTCGTGGGGTCTGCTGTGCGAACATACCCATCTGAAACCAAGTGTGCTGAGTGTTGTCAGATGTTATATCAGTCTACGGTCGTCGCAACAGACATGCAGCGCGCAGGTCGGGAACTCTTTGGCCCGCTTTCTCTACAAGCGAAGCTGCTGCACTCCCCGGAGCAGGCCCTGGCAAAGCTATGGCTGGAGCTTCCACAGGAGCCAGCGCAGCAGCGCAGAGTCAGGTAGGCTCGTTAGGCATGGTTAGGCTATTTGTAGTGGGGTCTGCAGTGTACTGTCGAAGTCGGAGCTTGTTGGAAGGATTTCGGCGCATGTCTTCAGGTGTCGAACTTGCACCGCCATTCAGAGCTTGAAGTGTAGGCCATAGGCAAGATATACTGAGTTCTGTGGTGTTGCATGCAGGAGGCAGATGCAGCTTTTCGCATATCTGCAGAGATGCTGACAGAGCTGAGAAGCTGGTTTGACTGGGCTGTGCGGCAGTATCTAACGACCTATTGTAGCGACGGGAGAGAACTGTCAGAGGCTGCAGGCCAAAAATATGCATTTCTCTACTCGCAGAAAACAGCTGGTGGCACATACGATGAGATCCTTCTTGCAAAGCTGGAAGAGGCGGCCACCGCCAGATGGTTGGCGAAATGGAGGAACCAGTCGCGCTTGAGTTGCTCCAAGGCGTCTTCGGGGTCACAGAGTGAACCAAGTCAGTGGCAGTGGTGGGGTTGGGCGACAAACACGACCTACGGTCCCTCTTGGGACACCGACACGCCTGAAGTTCGAGATGCATGGATGGAGGAGCCGGACACATCGGACACCGTCCCTTCCGTGAGGGCTTTCCTAGATGAGGTCAGTGCAAGCGAGCCGCTACCCGAACTTGCAACACCGACACGCCTGGAGGTAGACATGCTGATACCACAGTACACGGCACGCTGTATCGCCTCAGGCACGCCACGTCGTAACCTGTGAAGTGCTGGCTCGTTTCAGCATTCCCTCCCTGTCCCTGGCCAGGTGGGTTACTCACGGCTTCCGTGGGAGGGGTGGCATTTTCCCTGGCAGTGGCTGCCGAGACAGATGGATCTTCCACATCTGCTTTGCAGCGGCGCATCTCCACGACCGTCAAGATCTCGTCAATGGAAGCGTGCTTGGACGGGCAGCCTTTCGTACAGCTGCTGCAAAAGCCTGGCGCGCGGGCACAGGCAAGATCTTTTGAGACAGAGGAGCAAGCTCGCAGGCGTGTTTTTTTTCGAAATACTTTCACGAGACATGGAGGGAGCTAGAGTATTGACTATGTCTTGTCATGCGAGGCTGGAATCCGGAGATGGAATGCAATTACGTTTGGTGGCAGAGGAAAAGCCAAGCACGCCGTGGGATGTTGCAGTCTCGTTGTTGGGTGAGCCAGTACAGGTGGGCCGGGCAGGAGCTTGTGCTGACTCGTCCACCATAGCTGGCAGACAAGTCTTCAGCAGCATGTCCCATGTACTGACTGAGTGGTGTCCGGTGTCTGGTTTTTCCCTGCAGGTCCAGCTCGCCCCTTGGAGTTTGCATGGCGCCCTACGGACGGCTCATGATGTTTGGAAAGCATGGCATGGCGGCGGTGGGGGTGCGGACTCTTCAGATCCGGGGCTTCCCGACCTCCCAGAGGTCCTCCGGGAGGAGCCTGCAGATCCTGCTCTTGGCGGCTCCACAATGGGAAGCTTGGAGAATCTGGAGAGTCGCTTGACCCTTCGTGTTGAAGTTGAGGCACCCATTCTGCGCTTGCAAGCTTGGGAGGATGGAGCTGCTTTGGAGCTGCATCTCGGACGCTTTTTCAGCAGGTCCTTGGAGAAACAGAGGTTGAAGCTGGATTCACCCTATGCACTGACTACACTTGTCGAGCAGGAAGCCGAAGCCATCAAGCCCACGGCATTGGCCAACTTTGCGGTGCTTTGTGAACTTCGTGACACCAGGCTCATCCTCATAGAGCCAGGGAGCGAGGATCGCAAGCCATACGAGCCATCGACAATTGTTTTCGGGGCGTTTCTTGACGAAAAGATCCAGCTGCACACGGAGGCTACCAAAATACGTCTTCATATCGACCCCGGGCTACTACATTTGCTCGGTCAAATTCGGGGGGGCCTTGATTTTGCGGTGGCACCTCTGTCCAAAGACTTTGTGGGAGCTTCGCCATCGTCTCCTTTGTGGAAGCCTCGCAAGCCCAAGAAAGAGAAAGCATCAACGTTCGTGGGTGCACACCTGAGCCTGAGCGTGAGTCTCACGACCAGTAGCCTGGACATCATTTGGGATCCTGAGGGTGGTCGCGGTGTTCACGATGGATCGGTGAAGGGACACGTCGCTGGATTCCGGGTTGGTCTGGATGCAGATGCTGCTGGGATCAATCTCGTGAGCAGTGCGCAAGATGTTTGGCTCGATTGTGGAGACCGAAGGTTTCTTTCCAGTCTGGGGCATGTGGATCTTACAGCAAAGTATCTGCTGGATGCTGTTCGTCTCCAAGTCTTAGCGCCACCTTTGGAGCTTCGTTGGGCAGCCGAGTCGGTAAAGAAGGGACGTGCAGCCTGGGAGGCGGTCCAAGTGCA